TATTCTTGCCTGGAGAATTCCATGGACTGGGGAGCCTAGGGGGCTACAATTCATGGGATTGCAAAGAGTCCAACATGACTGAAATGACTTAGCACAAACACACGAGTTTTCTTCTACTCCTTGAATTTAAATAATTTGTCTGCCTTAAAATCTTGCTGTATTAGAAAATTTGGAGTTTTCTATCTACTGTGGTGAATTGCTCCCTTTTTTGTTTCATCCATATTCTGGATAAGTTAACACCATGATTCTTAATCTTTTGAGCTCTATACATTTAGTCAGTCTTTTGAGCACATTTCCATCAGGTGTAGCCCAGGCCTCTCCAACCCTCAGTGTTACCATGTGAAGTTTGTCATCTGTCTCCAAAAATTGCTTCCGTTACTAAATTTGCATTGCACAGATGCCTCCATCCTCTCATTCAAAGCAGAGAGCTGTGTTCCTCCAGCTCTTAGATTCTGCCAGTCCTGCTATTGAAAAGCTTCAATGTTTCTCCTTCTCTAGCACCTCTTTCAGTTGTCTCTCACCTCTGTCCCCTGGATTCTTGAAAAAAGAGCGTCGCTACTCTCTAGTATCTTCCCTCCTCCCGCTTCTAGTGAAAGAGGGATCTTTCACAAATGGACATAGGACTATCACTGCTAAAAATCCCTGTGTGATTTTCCCACCATTCTAGATCAGCCCAAGTTCCTCATCACTGGTGGAAGACCTGGATTGCCCTGGCCTACCTGTTCGGCTTCATACACTTCATCTTTTTTGTTTCTAATTTTTAATAGCAATTTATATTTGTACAGATTCTAGCTGCTTCAATAATAAACCTCACCTTCTCTCCTTGATTTTCATTCAAAAGACATTCTGCTGCAGTAACGGCACACTTTACTGCTTCAGCTTGCTAATAGGCCTTTCAGAATCGGCCATCCTCTTGATCGAAATATCCTTCCTCATGTTGGCCTGAATGTTTTTCTCTTCTGTTGACACCTAATTCAGATATCTCATGGAACTCCTGCTCATTTTCACACACACCGACTTCTATCAGTTGCACTTTTGTCACCATACTAGTGTGTGCCATCTCCTATAGCAATTAACATTTGTCGGAAAGTTCCCCTGGAGAACGAAATGGCAACCCACTCCAGTTTTCTTGCCTGAGAAATCCCATGGACAGAGGAGCCTGGCGGGCAACAGTCCACAGGGTCGCAGAAGAGTTGAGACACAACTTAGCCACTAAAGAACAACATCCCCAGCATAGTAAATGTGTTAACAATGTAAAAAAGCTTGGATGTTCAACATACATATGGGTGATTTTTTTTTTTTTAAGTTTGTAACTCTGGAGAACTTGTCAGTGGTATATTGCACATCAGACTTTGAAGTAAAATGAATAATTGCTTTGAATGTCCTTTAGACCTGAGTAACTCACTACATATTCCACTGGTATGTGTATAATGTTAGCTTTCCTAATAAAAATGAAATTGAGCTGTTATTCCTACCAAGGACTTAATGCTACCTGATATACTTTTTTAATTAAATGTAACTTTAATTAAAAACAGTACTTTTTTGTTCACTGCAAAACAACAACAGATGAGCAAAAAAATCTGTAATTCTACCATTTGTGTATTTTGAAGGCCAACATTTATACTGTCAGGGGAGTCTGTACTTTGATGGCCCATAAAGTGTTAAAGGGAAATCAGCTTATTTATGAAAGAGGAAAATGATTTTAGTGTATAATATTTTAAGTAAATCTCAAATACCAATGTCCACATATGTTGGATAGATAAATTAGGCAGTGGTTTTTTCTTTATAAAAATATGCTTTGGGGAGTTCCCTGGTGGTCCAGTTGTTAGGACTCTGTGCATTCACTGCCATGGGCTCTGGTTCAGTACCTTGTTGGGGAACGAAGATCCCAAAAGCCTCATGTCGTGGCTAAAGATTGAAAATAAATTTTTAAAAACTTGTGTTTGTAGGAGGTTTCTTTATATGGGACTTCCCTTGTGGTCCGGCGGCTGAGACTTCACTCTCCCAATGCAGTGGCCTGCGGTTCAGTCCCTGGTCAGGGCACTAGATCCCACATGCCACAACTGAAGATCCGGTTTGACCGAATAAACATTAAAACATAAATATGCGTGTACTGTTAACCCTGTTAAGTCGATCTGTATGTACCCTCAGATGCATGTTAGAACTTAAAAATGCATTCCTAGAGATGGGTTTATATTTTACAAAGAATCATTGCCCATTTGATCCCTGTACAAAGATTGAGGTTGGCCTTTGGCAGCTGTCAAATTGGTAGTTGAGGAAGCCATCGGTATTCCCATTGTGCTGCAAAGGCCTGTTTCCTCTTAAAGATTCATCTGAACTTAATTCTTTTGTTATAATAAGATGCTTTTAACCCCTTCCCTGTCTCTCTAGTGTAATTTAAACTTGCTATTGGCCCTTGAGCTTATAGTTAGGTACTAGAATATGCCACACCGAGTCTTTTAACAGAGTAAACATTTATCATTTTTATCCTTGAGTAAAAGCTGGTGGGAAAGGAAATTTTTATCTAGGTTCTTCTGTATACGATAAACTATTGAAAGAGGCTGTACATGGGCACATACATTTTACCTTCCTTGTTTTGAGTTAAAGTCCACAAGTGTTGGTACTGTATGATTTCTTTTAAAAGTGGGAGCAAGGAAATACCTTAGATGCCGGGTTGTCTCAGTATATGGTACAGTCTCAGTAAATGTACAGTAAATGACATCAAGAAAGTTTGCTGTGAATTTCATATCCTTCTGAGGTGGAGTATAAGTTCTGTGTTATGCTCATTGTCTGGGATTTTCTGAAGAGTGTCAAGAGTCTATAAAGGGCGGAGGTCTTTGCCTCATTCATCCAGTTCATCATTGGTGGCTTTTCATTGTGGTAATTAACATTTTCTTAGGCCTGATATATGGAAGCTTAATTTCTTTCAGTTACCAAACTGCTTGACTAAACTGTGGTGGATATTGGGAGGCCAGGAGAGGCTAATAAGATCTTAATGATCAGAAATACAAAACATAGTGTTTTTGCAAAGTGAAATACTTAGTGTTAGGATATTTACATCTGTCAAAATAGATGTGTAGAATAATAATTTCAGCACTTAACGATGTGCCAAGCTCTGAGCTCATGCTTACATGTTTTATCCCACTTAATCTCAACCAAAAGCAGGTATTATTATCCCTATTTCTGAGGCATGTGTCCAGGGTCACGCCTGTGTGAGGTTTTTCACCAAATGTTTCTCTTTAAGCATTTAAAAGAAGGTACTCTAAGTAAAGCGATGGGAGTTATGACTGATACACATACATTTTCAGTCCACTCTATTTAGTTCCTAAGTCTGACAGAGTAGTATTGGACCATGTGTTCTGAGGAGCAAAAACTGAAGTAGAAATTCTTGTCTTCCATATTAGTAGTAATTGTGTACAGAGAAAATCTGTTGTTAGGATTTAGTAGGACTTCCTTAAATGTTTGCTAAAGTGAGTCAGAGGAAGTGATTGAAACTAAAAAGAACATGATGTTGGGATGGGGGAAAGATGAAAAAGTATTGGGTTTGCTATCAGGTTACTTTTCGGTGAGTGTTGCACAAGCATTCCTCTCACCATTGCCACTTAATAAATCATAACCTACCACTTGCCAAAGACATCTCTGCAGTGCGTGAGTAGACGGCACCTTCTGATAATATCTAAACATTTCATTTTTAGAGTAACTCTTGTTGTAATGTTAATATTTGCAGAGAAATAAATTGAGAGAGGTGATGATACCTGTTACGTTAATTGTTAAGTTGTGAAGTGAACCCTTCCTCCTCTTCTGTGTCATACATGCTGGGTGGGATTTGACTGTTACACTGAAGCATAAGCACAATGCCTGCTGTAAATAGGAAATGAGAGCAGTAAGTCACTGTCGCTTTCAGCAGCACTCGCTTCTGTCAGTCTTGCCGGCTTTGGGAAAGTGAATAGGTGAGTGGCTGAGCACTCAGCATAGTTCAGCAGTCGTTTTGGCATAGCAGTTTACATGTTATGCTGTGCTTTAAGAAGAGAATTGTGAAAACAAACTCTCTTTTCTTGTATTGATCTTTATTTTACAAGCATTAGTGTTTCCGATCCATGGGTTGGGAAGATCCCCTGGAGTAGGAAAATGACAACCCACTCCAGTTGACAAAGAGTCTGCCTGCAGTGCAAGACCCAGGTTCAATTCCCAGGTCTGGAAGATGCCCTGGAAAAGGATATGGCAACCCACTCCGGTATTTTTGACTGGAAAATCCCATGGACAGAGGAGCGTGGCGGGCTCTACAGTTCACAGAGTCACAAGAATTGGATACAACCTACTGACTAAACCACCACCAGTATTCTTGCCTGAAAAATTCTGAGAGGAGCCTGGCGGGCTCTAGTCCATGGGGTCACACAGTCGGACACGACTGAGCAGCTGATCATGTGACTGCATGTTAACTGTGTAAAGTGTTTTAATGTCATAGACTCAAAGAAACCTCCCTCTTCACTGGATTTTCTGGGTCATTGACCCCATTTTTTTTCCTAGTAGAAAGTCAAATTAAGACTTAGAGTAAAAAATTTTCTCCTAAGAGTACACCTGAAATAAGTTTCGGTTGGCTCAGCTAGTTCATTTTTTTATCTCATTAGGACATAGCACATTGTGTTTCTCAAGTATTTTGATTGGTAAAACAGCTGCTAATCAAGGCTGTGCAGAAGGACATTTTGATATGCTTTTCCCAAAATGTGATATGTTACAGTTTCCTTGTGTGACATATTTTGACCTCTACTTGTATTAGGTAGGTGTGTGTACATAACTGTATAATGTATCTTTAGGACTGCTTGCCATGGATTGTTGCTGGGACTTCACATTGAGTTTCTCCTGGGTAGACTGGCAAACAGTATGACTTTGGAAGATTGTGAATTTCATTTTGCTCCAAGCACCACACGAAACAGTTGAAAATAGAATATGTGGTCTTCTGTGTTGCTTTATTTACAGCCTCATTTTTATTGCCTCGTCAGGTACCCAAGGAGTTGCGCCAGGTCCCGTCATTGGGCTCCAGGCCCCATCCACTGGTCTCCTCGGTGCCCGGCCTGGCCTGATCCCACTCCAGCGCCCACCAGGAATGCCGCCACCTCACTTACAGCGGTTTCCCTTGATGCCACCTCGGCCCATGCCTCCACACATGATGCACCGAGGTCCACCACCAGGCCCTGGGGGCTTCGGAATGCCTCCGCCTCACGGAATGAAAGGCCCCTTCCCACCCCACGGCCCCTTCGTCAGGCCTGGCGGGATGCCGGGGCTCGGGGGCCCGGGGCCTGGCCCAGGGGGCCCCGAGGACCGCGACGGAAGACAGCCGCCACCGCCGCAGCAGCAGCAGCAGCAGCAGCAGCAGCCTGCACAGCCGCCGCCACAGCAGCCGCCGCCACAGCAGCCGCCGCCAGCCCAGCAGCAGCCACAGCCGTTCAGAAACGACAGCAGGCAGCAGCAGTTCAATTCAGGTAGAGACCAAGAAAGGTTTGGAAGAAGATCCTTTGGAAATAGGGTGGAGAATGACCGGGAACGGTACGGGAACCGTACCGATGACCGAGAGAGGAGAGAGTGGGGAAGGAGGAGCCCCGACCGGGACAGGCACCGAGACCTGGAGGACAGGGACAGACGCGCTAGCGGGCATCGAGACAGAGAGAGGGATTCCAGGGATAGAGAGTCCCGTAGAGAGAAGGAAGAGAGCCGGGGCAAGGAGAAGCCCGAGGGGGCAGACAGGGCGGGCAGTAACAAGACCGTGGAGCCTCCCACTAGCCAAGCGGGAAACGTAGACACTGCTTCAGAACTTCCCAAGGGGGAGCCTGGGCCTGCAGTTGCAAAGCCTTCCGAAGAGTTACCTGCTGAGGCTACCTCATCCGTCGACCCCGAGAAGGACCCCAGCTCAGCAGCAGAGGCTCCTCGTTGAGAGAGACTGGGACCTGTCAGATATGACGGCGACGCAGGAGGGTAGGGCTCGGGGTGTACAGATGCTGTATTATACCTGCTCCCGCTATGTCACAGCCCCGCAGTAGTTGGTGGGAGTTGTAAGCAATTTGATTGCTTCCCTTCTATTTAAAAATAGCCACAAAATAACAAAAAAAAAAATACTGAAAATATGAATAAATATTACCCTTTTGCTGTAACTTTTTAAAAGTTTTGACTTTAAAAAGTTTACAAATCGTAATTAGAAGTGCTATTTTTTTTTTTAATTTAAGACAAGGTAACGGTGAAAGCTCCTCAAAAAACAATAGGGATGTTTTTAATAAACTCTATTTTCGTAACAAACTTTAATGTGTGCTATTCTTCCTACACTGCATTCAGGTGGAAAAGTTCATCAAAGTTTGAGCAGTTAATGCTGTATTAGTCTAAATTAGACTTGTTGATTTGATGGAAACAGACATCTTTATGTATTTTCAAACACTTCATCTGTAATATTTTTGATTTTTAGCATTGCAGTCATAAGGCAAAGGTTAGCGGTTTTAATGTTAACTGAAAAGCTTGTGAGTTTGGGGATTCAATCAAGGTGTTCTCCCCCTCCCCACCCCCTGCCCACTGGCTTTGTGGTGAATGTTGCCCTAAATAATTGGTTAAAAAAAAAAAATTCTTTGCTAAGGGAACATTGGACCCCAACATTGCTCATTGTACTATAAATTATTGCCTGGGTATTACTTTTTTAGAAGGCTGGTTGTTTTTCTTACCATCCCGTTAAATTTTTCAAAAGGGTGGGAGAAAAGCGAGGTTAGTGTCTGCAGCTTTAAAAGCTTTTTGCCTCGTCTAAGAACTTACATGCAGCCCCCACTGTTTCTATAAGCCTTGCCTGTTGCCTCTTTTCCCCTGCTGAGCAGAGGTAACCTGAGCTTTTTACCCTTAGAAGTACTCTCTCCCTTAAAAAATCGGGCTAACTAGGAAAGACAGTTGTGAGTTATCCAAGAGCTGTTACATGAAGACACTCGAAGGGAAACCAAACCTGGACCTGAAGTAGTACAGAGAGGCGGTTACACAAAGCTGCTGAGCTAGTGCCAAGGATGAGACCAGCTGTTAACACAGCCCGAGTATTCATGGCCTTGAAGCTGTTTTCTCCTTCAATTATGTATCTAAACTGTCCTAGTTTGTGTGGTGAACAGGTTCTTCACCCTCATCCCCAGGCAAAGCTGCTTTATTTGGTTTTGAGTTTTCTGCAGCAAGATCCTTAATGGGTGGTAGGGGGAAATGTACCTAGGGCAATGTACTGGTGTCCCACCTTTGGAAAATAAGAGAAAATCCCGTTTCGCATATGTAGACTTGAGTTGTAAGCTTACCCTGTTCTATCTTGGCCCACTGAGTTTAAAAGTCCTAGCTGAAACTGCTTCTGGAAATACATGTCTGATTAGTGCTCAGGTTTCAAGGAAAGAGTCCAGTATTGAAAGTATTAAGGTCACCCTATTTGCTCATGACAAAACCCCAGAAGTATTAAGTGGTAATAATTACAGGTGAAGCTTTAAAGGACACAAGCCAAGTCCACTTGTGTAACAAACTGTACCTTATGAAATGTTAGTATTGGTTTTTAAATTCCCTACCTGATGGTCATCTTAACTGTTAATTTGTGAGCATACTGTTATAACCTACTTAAAACTTTGAATACAAGTTATTTTTCTAAATTAGCTTTTCCTCTCCAAGTGATCTTCATTTGCTTAAGTCCAACCAAAACAGATGCTTATTTCTGGCTTCTCTGTCAAATATCCTACAATTTTCAACTAATAAACTATAACCCACAGTCAAACCTGCGTTAAGATCAACACTTCATTTTAAAGCATTCTCTTATAGGCATAGGTATTTAGAGAACAGACTTGAATTACTAATTGGGTGTAGAAATTCTCGTATTTAAATAGGCAGAACCCACAACACTAAGTCATTTCTTTGCTTCCACCTTACACTGGGTATAAAGTATTTCTTTAAAGGGCATATGTGAAAGCAGGTTGTGCCAAATGCTACCGTTATTAAAAATAAAACTAAGTGGTCATGGGTCTATAAAAATGGAATATGTGCCATTTTGACAGGTAGGTAAATCTTAACTCTTTGCTAAGGCTTTAACTTGCCATTTACAGTTTCACTAAGTTATCAAAGGGCTCTCTTAAATTGTTAACAGCTACTTTTTAAAATAAAGTTACCACCTTAACTTCCCTAAAGCTAACAAAGAATGGCCTATTTGTCTTGAGATTAAAGTTCAGCTTAGTCTTAGCTAAATTTACCAGTTGCTAAAATTTTAACGGTTTAATGATCTCATTTAAAAACACTTTCAAAAAAAAATAAAATAAAAACACTTTCAAAAAAAGGTTCTATAAGATAGTTAATACCCGTCAACATATTACTGAATCTCTTCCATTCATGCTATATGTATGAATATCAACTTGAGAATTTCAATTTAAATACTTCCAACAGGCTCAAAATACAGTGCCACAGAGTGTGTTTATTGCAGGCTTGAGAGAATTGAAGAAATTCAGACAAATAATATACATGTGATTAAGTCTGGCAAAATACAGAGATCAATGAACAGACATTTTACCTGTGTATGAGTTTTATAAAATTATACAAATCTTTCAAGTGATCATAAGTCAGTTCTCATTACAGGTACTTAAAGCAATTTAAAAAAAGTCACACAAATTACACTCTTTAAGTTTACAGTGTTAAATGCTTATTGAGTTAAATTTCTACAGCTAGCAAGATAACAGATGAGTTACTAGGACTCAGACCATGTCCCAGGGAATGTTTACTGGGCAATTCCAATTACACCACAGGCCAAACGATTTCCAGCGTTTCCAGTCTTTGTACTTTCTTCATTTCCACCTCTGCCCAAATCATCTGGTTTTTCATGGACCTTGATGAAACAGACACAATAAACACTAGGTTAGCAGTACTATCTCAAAAAAATACTAGAAACCCATAGAATTAGGTTACAAAAACATCCACATGCTAAATCTACCATGAGAAAGTAATATCAGAGTAGACATTCTTTCATAGTACAAACTGGTTTGGGGGGAAAGGTGAACCAAAAAAAATAAGCTTATAAAAACTGCCTAATTATCTACAGACCCATAAATGAGATAATCCTAAAAATACCTTGAATATTCAAATCAGAATACTGGAGTGAGTTGCCATGCCCTCCAGAGGATCTTCCAGACCCAGGAATCAAAGCCGGGTCCCCTGCATTGCAGGCAGATTCTTCACCAACTGAGCTATGAGGGAGGCCCTAAAAATAACTTGAATATTCAAGCAGTAGCCTTTTAAATTTTTCTCATAAAACATTAAGCCACCAGTTGGTGGCTCAGATGGTAAAGAATCTGCCTGCGTTGCAGGACACCTGGGTTCTATCCCTGGGTTGGGAAGATCCCCTGGAGGAGGGCATGGCAATCCACTCCAGTATTCTTGCCTGGAGAATCCCATGGGCAGCCTGGCAGGCCACAAGTCCAACAGTGGCACAGAGTCAGACACGACTGAGTCACTGAGCATAGCACATCAAACACTGATAAGTGACTTTTCTGCTTCGTAACTACAGAAGGAAATTCAAAGGATAAAAGGGTGAACTGATGATAAGTGTCTACTGAAAGTTAACTGTCCTCTGAAAGTGAAAGTGAAGTCGCTCAGTCATGTCTGACTCTGTGACTCCATGGACTAATGGAGCCCACCAGGCTCCTCCATCCATGGGATTCAAGGGAGCCTTCAGGAGGCATTCCGTAGGAACCAGAGTGCAGTGTTACGTAACCTGGGGCAACGGCCTCCCACATGTTAAACAAGTGACAACCACCTGCAGACATGAATGAATGCTGGTACTGAGGTCCACCCCAGATTTCAGATTTCAAATGCTCTGGTCAACTGCAAGGGGGAAACCCAGTAGGGACAGAAAGCCCGGCCATTTAAAAACCAAAAAAAATAAAATAAAAACCAAATAAAGACAACTTCTGTTTCCATAGCACAGATCTAATTAACATGATCAAAGGTAATTGCTATATTACTGCATCTTAGCAAGACTGGTCTTAACCGACCTTGATCATTAATTCACCTTCACTATAATTGTCCAACAAAATAACTGTTTTTCCTAATCTGAACAGAAAGTACAATATATATGGAAGCTTAGAAGCCAGGATGAACAATCATGAAGTCATGAAAACATACATGACCGTGTCAGAAGAAACTGCACGCACACCCTTATTACAGGAAACTCACCACCATCGTGCGGCCAATGATGGAGTGCTCTCCCGACAGTGAGATCAGAGAGTCTACAATGTCCACGTTGGCAACTCCATTTTTGTCAGCCGTCACGTTGCCCAGGTCTCCAACATGCCTGACATTGAAAAAGCAGAGGGATTAGGACTGATTTCTATCTAACTTTAGTTCGTAAGCTAAATTAAAAATCGGCAAGTCAGATATATAAGGGTGGCTTAAGAGATTTATACAGTCTATATCAAACAGAATCCACTTTTCCACACTGACAAAACTTTGAAAACATACAAATTTAAAAACAAGTAACAAGATGTTCTAGACACACAGGTCTTCAAGCAAGGCTTCAAGTCTATAAAGCAATGCTCTGCAAAGACTTGTGGTGCACCCCTAACTTCAGAGGTAAAGTAAACTTAGAGGGTAAACTCTAAATTACTGAGTTATGCCTATTAATACTTGGCATGCTAAGAGAGCTATGCCCCGAGGCCTTTGATATAAACATAAATTAATTCTTGTCCTTAAAACTTAATATTTTCCTGAAAGGCTTTCAGAAAACGAACACATACAAATAGAGTCTCACTGAATTTTCAACATCAAATTTTTTTCTACAAAGCTTCCAGTGTTTCACAATGATGTTTTATTTTGCTAGTAGCTGACACTACTGTTATTCATGACATTTCCTGTATTAGTTCCCTCTGACACTTGTGACACTATATTCAATAAATGCTACAA